AAATCCCTTGTAGTGGTGCTCACTTGCAGAATAACAACTTAGATTTCTAAATTGTAGACACCCTTTTTCTTTGACTATAAGCTGGTGAAGGTCCCTTTTAGTACTTTTATATTGCGTGGAATTTTTCCTTGGTCGTAATCTATATCATAAGTTGTAATAATAAATTTATATTTTAATCATATGGGTATAGCATTATGAAAACCATGCTAAAAATACTAAAAATCAGTGCAACACTGCATAGAGTGTGTGGATTGTGATGAAAACATTGATTTTGACATATTTGACATTTGCATAATTGATTTTAGGTTTTAAATAAACTAGGACATAAGTTTTTAACTTCTTGAAACGTACCGGAAGTATTAAAGAATGTCACCAAGTATTATATATATTTGTATAATTATACAGAGATCTGTTTAGCAGACGTTTAACAGACAAACTTTCTTCCTAAATAAAAAAAAGAGAATACAAATTTACGCGTTATGAAATATGACCTGAAATTGTTCAAATATAACCATCAAATCATAAAACAAGGTTAAACATAGAAAGCAGAGCTTTCCTTTAAAAATATTCTCATGCATTAAATTATTTGGTTAGAGAATTTACCAAAATCTTTTAAAAAAGTGTAGTCTTAAAATCAAACGGTGAACAAGCAAATTGCAAAATTGTAATAACTGTTGATGCAACAAACGTACAATTAAAAGTAATTGCTACAAAACACGTAAGGGTATTAAAACTTTTAAAAATTTGTTGGTTTCTTGGTTTTGAAATATCTAACAAGTTAACATTTAAAAACAATAATTAATATTTATATAGGTATAGCAGCAAATTGTTATTTGCAGAAATTTGAGTAAGTACTTATTTTATTTATAACCAATAAAATATTATTTGTAAACATTTTACAATATTATTAATAATTAATTTTAATTGTCTTTGTGGACGTAACAAAATACCTATAAACATGGGATAAATAATTAACAAATGTTTACAGCTTTTTCCGATAATTATATATATTATACATATATAAATATTATAATAATATTATATAATTATATATTATAATGTACGTAAGATGACCCATATACTTATCTCAGAAACTACTGGAGGCACAAAAAATTTGTAAGGGAGAAATATTCACGCAGTAAAAAATATTTTTAAAATATTATATTTTCATTTATACAGGGTGTTCGGTTTTCCGTGGGACGATACAAACTTTCTTATTTTTTTGCATTTTTAGATTCTACACACTATTTTAGGTATCCTTTGTAAATAAATTAATTAGGAAAATGTTAATACTTTTTGAGTAAAATTAAAATTTATCAAAATTTCGCTAAAAGTTAAAAATAACCAACTAAAACTTAAAAATTTCGCTAAAAGTTTAAAATCTTGTTTTTTTTCAATGGAACACCCTATATATTTTTACATAATTGGATAGAATAAGTAATTTCCTTTTTTTTATATATACAGGGTGATTCACTTAACGTGATTTTTCAATCAGCTTAGTTAAATAAATTAAAATAACAACAAATAAAAATGCTCATATATAAATATACCTATAATATTATAATAATAATTACCATACGCACAAAGCTACTAAATGTGAATATTTTTTTTTCTGTTGGGTTTAGGTATAGGACATAAACTTTTAAAATCGCTATTTTCAACGGAGCATAGAAAACACCTTGTATAATATTTTATAAAAAAAATATTTAACTTATAGCTTGGTTATTATTAAAGAGATGAATACATAGTATAAAAAATAATAAGTTTTAGTTGGTTATTTTTAACTTTTAGCGAATGTCTATATTTAGAGAACTTTTGATAAATTTTAATTTTACTCAAAAAGTATTAACATTTTCCTAATTAATATATTTACAAATATACCTATAGAATCTATAAATGCAAAAAAAATACAGGATGTTTCATTGAAAATAAGAAAGTTGGTATCGCCCCACAGAAAACCGAACACCCTGTATAAACGAAAATATAATATTTTAAAAATATTTTGAACTGCAGTTTTAGTGATTTTTTACACTTTTCAAAGCTTTCAAACATACGAATTTTTTAATTAAAAAAAATAATCCTGGTATAGATTTTTTGGGAAATTTTATGCTCTACAAGAGTCCGCGACGTACAAAATTTTATCTCAAACGGTTCAAAAGTTATAGTCTTTTTAATGAAAAAAGATTTTTTTACGTGTTATTTCAATGGAAAACAGAATGCTCACCGACACCTTTTAAAATTGAGCAAAAAATTTTTGCCTTGCAGGGAAATTTTTTGCTCGGTATGTAGCCCATAAATCCGATAGGTTAGTTTTTTTGGCTCACCCTATTATATATATTATATTCGTCATAAGTGATAAAATCGCGGTAAAGTACGAGGTGTGTTCAGAAAATATCGGGAATTTTCGTTTTTTGAAACAAATATTTATTTATTCGTCTACATTAATGTTGTCGCCTTCAAAATAGTCCCCATTGGATATTATGCACATGTGCCAGCTCTTCTTCCAATACTCGAAACACTTCTAAAACTCGATCTTTGGGATAGCCTTTAGTTCTTTCAGCGATGCGCTTTTAATGTCATCTATGCTTGCAAAACGACGGCCCTTTAAGGTTCCCTTTATTTTTGGGAATGGGAAAAAGTCAGACAGAGGCATGTCTGGCAAATATGGAGGCCGGGGAATCATTACAGTATTGTTTTTGGCCAAAAATTTTGTTCAAAATTTAACAATTTTAGATCAAATTTTGCTGCCACGCGTTTCATACCCAAAACATTCGTAAAAATTGCATGGGATGAGCCAATCGATATACCAACATCATCAGCGACTTCTCTGATGGTTTTTAACTATTTCTTCCACTTTTTCCATGTTTTTATCGGTTGTTAATGTGCATGTGCGTTCGGGGCCTTCGTCATCTTCAACGTCTTCACGGCCCTCTTGGAAACTTTTATATCACTTGTTAACTCTTGTTTTACTTATAGCATACGAATTCTTTGATCCATTTCTTTCGAACGAACGAAAATCGCCGAGCTCATAAAACACGTCTTAACCAGACCAAGTAAACAATGAAAACAGCTAAAGCATACTTCAGGGGCATGTATACCAACATAATAAAGAAAATTTTATGTCAACCGGACCCTCCGAACCCGCGAAATTTAACAATTCCCGTTATTTTCTGAACACACCTCGTATAATAAAAGTAATTATCAATATAATTTATAAAAATACCTAGTATTTTATGTATATTTCTAAAAAACAATTTTTAAATTAAAAAATTAAATTCAATCAATTATAATTGTAAAAACATATTTTTTTATTATTAATTTTACCGTACCTACCCGGAAAAATATATACGTAATTACATTTATATAAATTGTAACAATATAATTTGTTATGGTATTATTAACCTTGCAAATAATTTATTATTACTGATGTCACAATTTAGGAAAAAAATAAATAACCCATGACGTCAAAATATATCAACAGGTATTTCAGAAAAAATTATTTAAACTAAAATTCAATTTTATTTTTTTTTTGCATACTTAAATTGGATTATATACAGAGCTTTCAATTAAAAACTAGCCAACCTTAATAACTTAAAAAATGCAATTTCTGATTCAATGAAGTTAAAAAAATTAAAATCCGATCACAATTTCGAGTTGAGCCAAAGAACCTGTGATATAAATAAAACAAAGAATTCGATAATTTTTTTTATAAAAAACCTGTTTTATTTGCCTTTAGCAGAGTTACTACACGTTTTAGCCAAAATATTTTTATTGATATGTTTTAGCAGAAGCTGCACAAATTGAAGATTATTTTTATTGTTATAATTAGTAAATGTTGTAGATATTGAAAATAATAACTAATCAATAGGTAGGTACTTTATATTACAATCACAGCATTATAAGTTTTTTTATACACAGGGTGTTCAAAGTTATCTGCTTAGGTACCATTGCTAACTATGTCTCCGACTGATGTTGCCCTTTGTACTTTACTTCTTGTGACGTTTAAAACACTTGCCACGTAATACTGTGACCGTCCATCCTGGATTAAATTAATGTCTCTGGCAACATCATTCGGAGACATATACATTTTTTAATGTAAGAAGACACCTCAAAATTTAAACATTAATTTGCAAAAAACAATTTGATAGCTTTTAAAAGCCGTGTATGACATGTCCAAGAATGGGATGATTCAACAAAACTCTCACTGTCATTCTCCATAGCCTATGGATGGACCATAGCAACTTTAGTTCTTCAAACAGAAAAATATTGGAAATTGCAATGTTTTTTTTTAAATCCATATTTTTCACTAAAATAAATATGTCGAAGTGAACCAAAAACAAAACTGTCAAGAATAGTTGTGACTTGATAAATAAAACCTAATTTAGAACAATATACGGCTTTGCCACTCTACAGAATTAAAAAACATCTTTTTGTTTAAACCTGTATATTATAAACGTACGTCTATTTTTTAGTAATTTTTTTAAATGTGAGCGATTGTTCATTAATTTATCTACAATATTCTTTAATATTCGTTTAAATCCGACATCAAATAAAAAAGTTATTTGCGATTGAAATTTATCGAAAATTTGTTTGGATCGATTATTTTGCCTGTGAGTGTATAAGTAATATAATATTATTTGCCTTTAAGTGTTGCCTTTTCCTTACACCAAAAATTTAAAAAAATACACTGCAAATCAAATTTCATTTTTAAAACTTTTATAATTTTTTTTTAGGGAAAGATAATCAAATTTAATTGTGGCATCTTCCCGGAGCTAATTTAAAAAATAAGTTGCTCATATTGGTAAAATTTAATTATTATTATTTAAGTGATTAAATGTTTAAATAATTCTACAAATATTCTACGAATACGTTTCAACACAGTCTTGCAAGAGTATGTGAAATATCTTATATAATTTTTAAAAAGTTTAGGTAAATACTCAGGTATTCACAATTTTTAATATCCATAATCAATTATAACCTAATTATTTTGACTTACTTACAAGTTTATAATACGGGATTATAGTCCAAGGAATGAAAATATAAAAAAGTATCACTTAATACACTAAATAAATACAACTAGTTTTACATGAAGTGTCTATAGAATGAGCAGAGTTAAAAGTGGTACATGTGTTCTCGAAGGTATTTACTTAACTAACCTGTGTTAGGCGCGAGCTATGTGATTCTTAACTTTCATTTTGCGTTAAAAAGGGGGGGCGCTTAAGGGGCCATCGGTAAAAATTATTTTGTTTCATACCTTCTGAAAACAGTTTTGTCATTGCGTTTATAAATTAACAAAACATAGAATAGCTCTGATCAAATCAAAATTCCAGTGGTTTAACAGTAGGTACTGTGAAATATACGACTTATTTATTTTTGGTTTGAATAAAATTAAATTATCGGTGAGATCCCTTAAGTCGGATTACAGATCTTCCTTTTCTTAAAGAATTTATTTAAATTTGTTATGTTTATACAATGTGACCCATTTGTTGTTTTCAAGTGTATTTTTGGGGCAAAAAACACCATATTTTTACAAAATACAAGGCCTACTAAGTCAGTTTTTGAGAGTAAATTTCATATTCATATTAGCGATTTTTTAGCTAAATTAAAAATGCCCAATTAGTACTATTATTTATTTTTGGTTTGAATAAAATTAAATTATCGGTGAGATCCCTTAAGTCGGATTACAGATCTTCCTTTTCTTAAAGAATTTATTTAAATTTGTTATGTTTATACAATGTGACCCATTTGTTGTTTTCAAGTGTATTTTTGGGGCAAAAAACACCATATTTTTACAAAATACAAGGCCTACTAAGTCAGTTTTTGAGAGTAAATTTCATATTCATATTAGCGATTTTTTAGCTAAATTAAAAATGCCCAATTAGTACTATTTACCAAAATTTATCCTGTCAAGTTATCCATGAAAAAAACATTGAAATAAAATTACATGTTTCCATGACACTAAGTGACCTTTTAAATACACATTGAAAGTTGTGGCTTTATGGCGCTTTAGTCACGGGCTGAAGTTAGCAACAGGTTTTTAGTCACGGGCTGAAGTTAGTTTTAAGTTAGTTGACAGTTGTCAAATGTCATACAATCGTTAAAATAAAGTGCCTTTCTTGTAAAATAATACTTAATGTGAAAATTATTTTATTATCTCAATACAAAAATACAAAAGTATTAAATAGTTTCTCAACGCCAATATTTAAAAAGTTTATATGAACATTGTACTGACCTTTTAATTTCGCCGGCAGTAAACTATAACTTAAATTCGGGCACGGACTCCACTGTAAAGTGCTCATAAAACATTTTCTTTACTTTCACTGTGAAAAACTGTCAATTTTCAAGAAATACATTTCGATTTATAACCTTTATAATCTTTGTTTATAAAATATAAAAATTTGACATTTGACGGTGACACACAGATTCCCCTATTGTTTCATAGATGGCGCTCTATACAAATTTTTGATTTAAATCATTTAAAGATAATAATAAGTATTTGTCGTAGAAAAAGTATATTATGCACCTCGTTTATAAACTATTCTATATATATATATACACTCATTAATTTAAGCACTCGCTGGCAAGCTCGTGCCTAAATTAAATTCGTGTATAAAATGGCGTTTATCAAACTTGATACATAATATACTATTTTCCACTTCCACCTTTAAAAAGACCATAATCGTACAAGTTATGACTATATGGCGCTTTAGTCACAGGATAAAGTTAGCAACAGGTTTTTAGTCTGGGGCTAAAGTTAGTTCTAAGTTAGTTGACAGTTGTCAAATGTCATACAAACGTTAAAATAAACTGCCTTTCTTGTAAAATAATACTAAATGTGAAAATTAACATTTATCAGTTAACTGATAAAGCGTTAAAAATGTTGCGTACAGTGCCCATAAAACATTCTCTTCTCTTTTACTGTAAAAAACTGCTTATATATCGATTGTTAGTTTATTTTTAAGGGGTAAATTTAGATTTTAACGCCATGTTAGAAATTCTAACGGGAATTCCAATAAATACAACTGTCACTTTTTGTACCTTTAACATTTCCCGTGTAAGAATGTTTAATACTTGTGATTATATTTTGCAATTATTGTAATAAAAACAATCAAAGGATAAAATATTTTCTCAATATAATCATATTTATTTTAATATTTTAAAGTATCAAGTATCAAGTTTAAGTAAAATAATAACGGGCAATGTTAATGGTGAAAATTACGCCAAAATGTTTATTGGATGGTTACTTTATTTTCGTATAGATGTCGCTTTATACAAATAAAAAAATTTAAATCAAGTATAAAAAAGTATAGTATGCATACATAATATAATATAATACTATTAGTTCAATTTTATTTCAATGTTTTTTTCATGGATAACTTGACCGAATAAATTTTTGTTCATAGTTACTATTGTTTATTTTTAATTTGGCTACAAAATCGTTTCTACTTAAAAATTTTCAATAAAATTTAGTTTAGGGACGTTTAGAGGGTAAATCCAGTGCCATGCATTGATTTTTTTAAATCGCTAATATGAATTCTTAAAAATTTAATTTTAAAAACTGACATAGTAGGCCTTGTATTTTGTAAAAATATGGCGTTTTTTGCCTAAAAATACAGTTTATCAAGATCCACACTTTAAAACAAATCCGGTTAAAATTGCAAAATAAATAAAGATTTTACAGGGGTGAGTCGCAATTAAATGGCTCACACTGTATATACACGAATAAACTTATTTGTTAAAAATACTTTACACAACCACAACATATATTTAAATGACAAAAAAGCAGCAAAAGTTAAAAATCAATTAAATTAGAATAAATGATAATTATTATTTAAAAAAATATATTAAATATATATAAGGTACCTAATGATTAAAAATGTTTTTCATTTAAAAGATTGGACTTGGAAGCAAAAAATACACCAGCTAATTTAATGACATAAAATAAAAAACTCAATCATTAGTTTAAAGATACACGATATTAGTCGCTACGAGAAAATTTAAAAAAAATTCTAGGTTGTGGTAGTCTACTTAAAAAAAGGTTTAGAAACATTAACCGTCTGGTTTCCGAGTAAATAATTGGTTAAAGTTGCTAAGACTACACGGGATGTTATCGCTTATTATTGCTAAAATGTGTGTGAGTGATGTTAAAAATTTATATGCCAATTCTACACTGTGAAATAAATTCAGTCAAATCATTATCTACCTATGAAAAATGTCGCAAATTCAATTATTTAACTACCTACCGCAAGAAATTTTATTTGATATTTTATCTGATATCCGACAGCTACAGTCAATTAGTTTTAACCATACTTTATTCCAATTTTAACTAAAATCTTATTTAAAGCTAACTCGTGTATAGGCAAAATGGTATTAAAGAGTAAGGTTAGGTAGATCTGACAGTTATCGAATTTTTTATTAGTCTTTTAACTGCCTAGAAGGTAAAACATTTACCCGATTAGGGTAAATCAATCACTTTGCACAGTAAAAAATATTCGTTAATTTTAACCAAATATTAACCAGTTTTTATGTTAATACAGGTCCACATAACTTAATGATAAGTTTACAACCAACTGTAATCTGTTAACTAATTAAATAAGTATTTTGTAATTATAACAAAGATCTTGTGGATTGAATAAGAAAATCCTATGTCAATAATTCAACCATAATTCTTGTAATTTTCAAAAAGCACCTTATTCTCGTAGACCCAATAGCAAAAGTATTTGTTGGAAATTGGGAACATAAATGAAAAGAATTTTGATAAGAAATGTTGATTTATTAATCAATTTTCTAAACATTAAAATTAACACATAAATGAACAAAAAATTAACTCTTCGCGTTTGGAAGTTACACTCGAAAATCGCGATATTTTTTTCATAAGGGGGGACCAAGGTGAAATTTTTTCCGCGACAATTGAAATAAAAAAGTTTTTTAATATGATTTCCTTACTAATTCGAGCACGCTGATTCCAAAAAATCAAACCGCACTTTCGTATCTCTTCGCGTTTGGAAGTTACACTCGAAAATAGCGATATTTTTTTTCAAAAGGGTCCCCCCTTATGAGATTTTTTCTGAAAAACCTGAAAAAAAAATTTGCAAAAATAATTTTTCCTTCCTAATTTGAGCACGCTGATTCCAAAAAATCAAACCGCACTTTCGTATCTCTTCGCGTTTGGAAGTTACACTCGAAAATCGCGATATTTTTTTCAAAAGGGTCCCCCCTTATGAGATTTTTTCTGAAAAACCTGAAAAAAAAATTTGCAAAAATAATTTTTCCTTCCTAATTTGAGCACGCTGATTCCAAAAAATCAAACCGCACTTTCGTATCTCTTCGCGTTTGGAAGTTACACTCGAAAATCGCGATATTTTTTTCAAAAGGGTCCCCCCTTATGACATTTTTTCTGAAAAACGTGAAAAAAAAATTTGCAAAAATAATTTTTCCTCACTAATTCGAGCACGCTGATTCCAAAAAATCAAACCGCACTTTCGTATCTCTTCGCGTTTGGAAGTTACACTCGAAAATCGCGATATTTTTGTCAAAAGGGTCCCCCCTTATGACATTTTTTCTGAAAAACGTGAAAAAAAAATTTGCAAAAATAATTTTTCCTTACTAATTCGAGCACGCTGATTCCAAAAAATCAAACCGCACTTTCGTATCTCTTCGCGTTTGGAAGTTACACTCGAAAATCGCGATATTTTTGTCAAAAGGGTCCCACCTTATGACATTTTTTCTGAAAAACGTGAAAAAAAAATTTGCAAAAATTATTTTTCCTTACTAATTCGAGCACGCTGATTCCAAAAAATCAAACCGCACTTTCGTATCTCTTCGCGTTTGGAAGTTACACTCGAAAATAGCGATATTTTTTTTCAAAAGGGTCCCCCCTTATGAGATTTTTTCTGAAAAACCTGAAAAAAAAATTTGCAAAAATAATTTTTCCTTCCTAATTTGAGCACGCTGATTCCAAAAAATCAAACCGCACTTTCGTATCTCTTCGCGTTTGGAAGTTACACTCGAAAATCGCGATATTTTTTTCAAAAGGGTCCCCCCTTATGACATTTTTTCTGAAAAACGTGAAAAAAAAATTTGCAAAAATAATTTTTCCTCACTAATTCGAGCACGCTGATTCCAAAAAATCAAACCGCACTTTCGTATCTCTTCGCGTT